GGGCCCCCAACCAGCCGATTGGGCAGGTGGGGTCCCTCAGCAGCTGGTTGCTGACCAGAAGTGCCACCAGTGCTTCTCTTGGCACCCACACATTCTTAAGGGGGGCACCAGCCATTGCCCCCGATTCCCTGACTGGCAGCGGCCAATCTCAGAGGGGCAAATGCTCCCCCCACCCCGTGCCCCACCTACGCATCACCTATGCCTCCACTACAGAAAAGATGTAGACAAACTGAAGAGTTCAACAGAGGGCAGTGAAAATGGTTAAGGGGCTGGGGCACATGATGTCTGCCTCAGAAGAGGCAGAGGGAATTGGGCTTATTTAGTCTGGAGAAGAGAAGACTGAGGGGGGGGATTTAATAGCAGCCTTCAACAACCTGAAGGGTGGTTCCAAAGAGGATGGAAGTAGACTGTTCTCAGTTGTGACTGCTGACCAGGGATCTGGGTTTTCTGTTTCTCATGGAAAAACAGAGTAAAATACAGATTCCTTCCCCTTCCCCTGACTGGAATAAAATGCAGATTTCTCATTTTAGTGGAGAAACTCACAGATTTGCAGTTTTGCGAGGAGCTCTCTGCAGGCTGGCAGAGCTCCAGCCTGCAGGAGGTTGGGGAAAGCAGGAGGAGGGCAGTCAGGCAAGGGGCACCAGGTGTATGTACATGCATGTGGCCACCAGGCAGCCAGGAAAGCAGCTCCTGCAGGCAAGTGGTGGAGGGGATTGAGGCACTCATTGGGAGGGAAGGAGTTGGGCTAGGGCTGAGGCTGCTGTCCTCCTAGGCAGTGCATAGGGCTTGGGACCTGGAGCTTCAATGCACAGCTGCAGGGCCCTGGCAAGGAGTGGGGCAGGGCCACAGGTGGCTCGTCTGGCAGGCAGAGGATGGGGCCAGCTCCCCATGGCTGTGCCCACAAATCTCTGCATGGGACAGGGTTGGGAGCAGGGTGGGCTGCCAGCTGTGGGCTCAGGCTCCCACCCTGCTGCCCTCCCTCAGGGCCTCCACAGCTCGGTGGGCGTGACCCAGCACTGCAGGTTAGAGCAGGATGAAGCAGGAAAGCTGCTTGCTTCTGAGAGCGCCACACTGCCCTGGCGAGGTGCCCCCTGCACACACAGCATTAGTGTGGGGTTATGCCCCTCACTACTGCTGCATGCATTGGGGGCACCTTGCCAGGACAATATGCAGCTTGCAGTACTGCGCCCTGCAGTGCTAGGTCACTCCTGCTGGGCTGCAGAGGCCCCAGGGGAAGGCAGCAGGGTGGAAAGCCCAAGCTCATAATGGGCAGCCCACCCTGTGCACAGATCTGGGTGACATAGGCCCCCCCTGCTGCGTGGGGTGCCCTTGGAGCCCTCTTGGAATCCTTCAGTCCCACCCTAATCTCTCCTGCCACATCTCGATGGAAATTATTATGCGAGCAGGAGACTGCCTATTATACTGGGTATGTTGGAGTCTCTTCTAGGATGGCTGGACCCCTTTTTTCCCTCTAGCTAGACTTCTCCATCCAAACCCACCAACCAGGGTTCGACTCCGAGGCTCTAGCTTTTCCTTCCAGTGCCTGGAGGCTCATGGCCCCCTTTCCTGCTCCCTTCTGGAGCACAGCACTCCCTGGCCCGGAGGCCCGGGCACTGGCCCCACAGCAAGGGGGCTGCAAGTTCAAAACCAGGGCGTGACAACCCCCAGTCCAAATAAAAACAAAAATATACCCACACCCCCAGGTGCACCAGGCCTCTCCAGCCTTTTACAATCATCCCTTGAGTACCAGGGTTTATGTCATCCCAAACTGTGCCCTTACTGGCACCTGGGCTCGCCGCAGCCCTGTCTCTCTGTGCCTCACTGGCACCAGGGTCTATGCCCCCAAAAAGCTGCGCCCTCACTGGTGCCAGGGGTTGTACCCCCCCACCCCACAAAAAAGTTGTGCCCTTACTGGTGCCAGGGTCTAAGCCCCAAAAAGCTATGCCTTCACTAGTGCCAGGGTCTGTGCCCCAAAAGCTGCGCCCCCACTGGCACCAGGGCTCCCACTCTGGAGTGGGTCCCCAAAAATGAGGCCTCCTTCATCCCCTAATAGCCTCACCCAAACCTCCAGGTTTTGAATAGCAAACGAAACACAAGCGCCCCGCCCCGGCTATAACATAATTCAAACCATACCGGAGAATCCTCCGTCATCCAGCAGTGACAGAAGCTGCTCCTACAGTCAGGCCTCTCCCCTCTTCTCTGGGAGAGCTCCTTCCCCCCTTAGCTGCTGGTAGGGAACCCCCTGCCTGGCCTTAGCCCTGGGGTTTAAATGTGAGCCAGGCCCTGCCCCTTCCAGTCAGCTGACTGCTGGCAGATGTGGGTCACTAGCTCACTCTGGTTGCCTCTAGCAACCTGCACCTGGGTAATTATCTCTGCTCTATGAGTAGCAGGTGCCTTAGTGCCCTGCTACAGACCTAGACATTAGGAAAATACCCTCTTTCACTATGAGCATTAAAAATCAGTGGAACAATCCAGAGAAGTTGTGGAGTCTCCATCCTTAGAGGTTTTTGAGACCCAACTAGACAAATAAAACCTTGGCTGGAATGATATGGTTAGAGGTGGTCCTGCTTTGAACAGGGGGTTGAACTAGGTGACCTTCTGAAGTCCCTTCCAGCCCTAATTTTCTATAATTAGCAGTCAGTCCAATTTGGTGAAGCTTGTCCTTGACAGTAGACACACTATACATCATTCAAGCTCCCCTAGGCCTCTATGAGGCACAGGTCTCCCAACTCCTGTATTTATATTTATGTACCTACCCCTGACCTGCCCGCTCATATCTTTCTCTCTGTTGAGATGTTCATCTTCATTTGTTTTGTTTGCCAAGCTCACACAACTTCACTTTCTAATTTTTAAAGTAAGTTCTAACTTTTACATTTCTAGCTGCTGTTTTCATACTCCCTACAATGTCTTTTTTTGCTCATTAGTGCTTTTTTAAAAATTTCTTGCTAGATCATTCAGTAGTCAGGTGGCCCCTTTCTCCCACACTGCTTTGTGGCACTGTAGCTTAGCATAACTACAGCCTAGCACAACCAAAACTCCTACATTTTGTAGAGTAGAGAAAGATAGTTAGCTGTATTAGTGTGAAGTCAGGCAGAAGTCAGGGTAGACTGGATTTGCACCTTCATAAATTTACTAAATTAGAGATGTATAATAAGCTTTTGTGAGCAGAGGGCTTACTTCATCAGATGCAGGAAGAAGAGCTGCTAAATAAAAAACAATGATCACAATACAGAGGGTAGAGAAGGAGGGAAGAAAAGAAGGGGACACTGCTGAGAGACAAGGTGAGTAGGAGAGAGAAAAAACAAAGCAATTAACCCATTGAGGGACATAAGGTTTACAAAAGCTAATCCAGGAAATGGGATAAGAATCAGTAGTCTCAATTTAGATTAGGGGTGGGCAAAATCTTGGGCTGGATCTGGGCTGCCCCAGGCTCTTGCATCTGGCAGGGCAGTGGGGAGGGTCTGCTGGGCAGCCCTAGTACAGGTTCTGGGCAGCCACAAGAAGAAGGGCCCAGTAACATTGAGGGGGAGGTGACTGCTCTGGCCGCCAGGTCCTGCTTTTTCCTGATGCCCAGCAGCAGCTTCTGCCCAGCCCTGCCACCGCTACTGCCATGTCTGCACTCAGGCTGCCAACACTGAAACCAAGCAGCAGCTCCAGCCCCTCTTCAGGGTAGAAAGACAGCACTGGTGGCAGCAGAGGCAGTTCAGGCCCTGTCCCACATAGAGTGGGATCCCACATAGGAGTGCTTTGCCCTCGCTGAGCTAGCTGTCTGATGAAGATGCTGCCTACCCATACCCACTCCAGCTCCCCACCAACCTGTGCCCCATCCCACATAGAGAGGTTTGGTAAGCTGTTCCACAGGGCAGGGGGTGCTGACCCAGGTCACAACAGCTCCCCAAAACTCCCTGTGTGGCCTGCAGGCCCAAATAATTGCCCACCTCTGATTTGGACCATACTTACAACAATCCAATCTATGGATCATTTCTTGTACGTCAATTTCCCATTCAAGTTGGTTTTTAAAATGTTGTTGTCTAAGAGCAGCCACTCTGACCTCAGTGATGGAAAAAGTGTTCTACCACAGGCTTGTCTGTCTTTGTGGTACTGATATCAGATCAGTGTTCATTCATTCTTACATATAGGGAGTGCCCCATCTGTCCAACATAGACAGCAGAGGGGCATGATAAACAGGTGATAGCATACATGGCATTGGTAGAGATACAGGTAAATTTATCTCAGACATTTCAAAAACAGTCTGTATTATTTGGTCCAGTGATGATGTGGTCTGTGCTGATGAAGGGGCACAGCTAGTATCTGGGATTATTGCAAGGCCTGATGCCTCAGTGAGAATAGGAGTTAGGTAGCTTGTTGCTGAAGAGATGCTGTTTGAGGTTGGAGGGCTGCCTGTAAGCCAGGACAGCTTTGTCCCCCATGGGTTTGTCCCAACTTGAGATGGTCATCATTTTCCAGGAGGGGTTGGAGATCTGGGAAAGGGGTTGAGTGGATCTTAGGGAAGGAGCCTAGGACTGATGGCAGTGGCAAGGGAAGGGGGAAAGACCGGAATAGGAGTAGGTGGGGAAATTGGGTCTAATTGGGAAGGAGCCTGGAGAAATGAAATTGGCATGGGAAGGGATCCAGCCAAAGATTGTCTTTAGCAGTGAGCCTGGTAAGTTGATGAGCTTGGACAGGACAAGTAAAGTAGAACTGGGGAAAGGAGTCTTGAGGGGTGGGGACTAGGACAAGGAGCTAAGACTGGAGTGCTTAGGCCTTTCCCCTCAGTTGACTGAGAGAAGGCATGCAGGCCTGGTACCACAGGGTAATTCTCGACCTGACGCTGCTCGACCTGGTACTGGCTACTGGGGATGACCTAATCAGCGACCTAGTGATTAATGGGAAGCGGGTGACAGTGACCATGAGCTGATCGCCTTCACCATCCGCCATAAAACTCGCAAGTCAGTCAGCAACACTGAAGTCCTTGACTTCAGGAAAGCCAATTTTGACAAGCTCAGGAGGCTTGTCAGTGAGGCCCTAAGGA